AATGTGTCCCAGAGGTTCTGGCACGTTGTGTCTTCGTTCTCATTGGTTTCGAAGAACTTCTTTATTTCTGCCTTCATTTCGTTGTTTACCCAGTCAACATTCAAGAGCCAGTTGTTCAGTTTCCATGAAGCTGTGCGGTTCTGGGTCGGTTTCTGAATTCTGAGTTCTAACTTGATTGCACTATGGTCTGAGAGGCTGTTTGTTATGATTTCAGTTGTTTTGCATTTGTTGAGCAGTGCTTTACTTCCAATTATGTGGTCAATTTTTGAGTAGGTGTGATGTGGTGCTTAGAAGAATGTGTATTCTGTGGATTTGGGGTGGAGAGTTCTGTAAATGTCTATCAGGTTTGCTTGCTCCAGGTCTGAGTTCAAGCCCTGGATATCCTTGTTGATTTTCTGTTTGGTTGATCTGTCTAATATTGACAGTGGAGTGTTAAAGTCTCCCACTATTATTGCGTGGGAGTCTAAGTCTCTTTGTAAGTCATTAAGAACTTGCCTTATGTATCTGGGTGCTCCTGCATTGGGTCCATATATGTTTAGGATCGTTAGCTCTTCTTGTTGTATCGATCCTTTTACCATTATGTAATGGCCTTCTTTGTCTCTTTTGATCTTTGTTGCTTTAAAGTCTATTTTATCAGAGATGAGAATTGCAACTCCTGCTTTTTTTTGCTCTCCATTAGCTTGGTAAATCTTCCTCCATCCCTTTATTTTGAGCCTTTGTGTATCCTTGCATGTGAGATGGGTTTCCTGGATACAGCACACTGATGGGTTTTGGATTTTTATCCAGTTTGCCAGTCTGTGTCTTTTGATTGGTGCATTTAGTCCATTTACATTTAGGGTTAATATTGTTATGTGTGAATTTGATACTGCCATTTTGATGCTAAGTGGCTGTTTTGCCTGTTAGTTGTTGTAGATTCTTCATTATGTTGATGCTCTTTAGCATTTAGTGTGATTTTGGAATGTCTGGTACTTTCTATGTGTAGTGCCTCTTTTAGGAGCTCTTGTAAAGCAGGCCTGGTGGTGACTGAATCTCTGAGTACTTGCTTGTTCGCAAAGGATTTTATTTTTCCTTCACTTCTGAAGCTCAGTTTGGCTGGATATGAAATTCTGGGTTGAAAGTTCTTTTCTTTAAGAATGTTGAATATTGGCCCCCACTCTCTTCTGGCTTGTAGTGTTTCTGCCGAGAGACCTGCTGTGAGTCTGATGGGCTTCCCTTTGTGGGTGACCCGACCTTTCTCTCTGGCTGCCCTTAGTATTTTCTCCTTTATTTCAACCTTGTTGAATCTGACGATTATGTGCCTTGGGGTTGCTCTTCTTGCGGAATATCTTTGTGGTGTTCTCTGTATTTCCTGCATTTGAGTGTTGGCCTGTCTTGCTAGGTGGGGGAAATTTTCCTGGATAATGTCCTGAAGAGTATTTTCCAGCTTGGATTCATTCTCTTCATCCCCTTCCGGTGCACCTATTAGACGTGGGTTAGGTCTTTTCACATAGTCCCACATTTCTTGGAGACTTTGTTCATTCCTTTTTGCGCTTTTTCTCTAATCTTGGTTTCTCGTTTTATTTCATTGAGTTGGTCTTCAACTTCAGATATTCTTTCTTCTGCTTGGTCAATTCGGCTATTGAAACTTGTGCATGCTTCGCGAAGTTCTCGTATTGTGTTTTTCAGCTCCTTTAATTCATTCATATTCCTCTCTAAGTTATCCATTCTTGTTATCATTTCCTCATATCTTTTTTCAAGTTTCGTAGTTTCTTTGCATTGATTTAATGCATGTTCTTTTAGCTCACAAAAGTTTCTCATTATCCACCTTCTGAAGTCTAATTCCGTCATTTCGTCACAGTCATTCTCCGTCCAGCTTTGTTCCCTTGCTGGTGAGCAGTTTTGGTCCTTTCTAGGAGGCAATATGTTCTGGTTTCGGGTGTTTTCCTCCTTTTTGCACTGGTTTCTTCCCATCTTTGTGGATTTATCCGCTTGTCGTCTGCGTAGTTGCTGACTTTTCGATTGGGTCTCTGAGTGGAAACCCAGAATGTTGATGATGAAGTATTTCTGTTGCTTGGTTTTCCTTCTACCAGTCTAGCCCCTTCGCTGTGCGACTGCTGAGGTCCGCTCCAGGCCCTGCTTGTCTGGGGTGCACCTCTAGCAGCTGTGGCACAGCGAGGGATGCTACCCGTTTCTTTTTCTGCTATCTTTGTCCCAGGATGATGCCTGCCAAATGTCAGTCTTTTGGATATAGAGGGGTCAGGGAGCTGCTTGAGGAGACAGTCTGTACTTTATAGGAGCTCAATTGCTGAGCTATGAGCTCTGTTGTTCATTCAGGGCTGTTAGGCTGCTATGTTTGATTCTGCTGCAACAGAGCTCATTTAAAAAACCCTTTTTTTTCTCAAATGCTGTGTGTTGAGGGGTTTGGGCTTTATTTTTGGATGTCCGTTGAGGTCCTGCCCAGCTAGGACGCAGACTAGCCACTGTTTGCCTGCTGAGGCTCCGCCCTGCTGTTGTGTTGTTTGCCCAGTTGTGCAGGCTCTGCTGTTCTGCTGTGTTCTCCGCCACGCCCTGAGGCGGAGTCTCTCTGTTGTAGCGGGTTGCCTCCGCAACGGCAGGCTGCGTCAGCAGTGGGCGTGAATCTCAGTAGGGACGGGTTGCCTCGGCAACGGCTGGCTGCATCAGCAATGGGCGTGTATCTCAGTTGGGGCGGGTTGCCTCGGTAATGGTGGACGCCCCTCCCCCACAGAGCGTCTCGGGCCGTCTGCACGGGGATTGTTCGAAATCGCAGTTTTGTTCGTCCCACTGGGCCACCCCAAACGCTCTGTCCCTGCAATCCCCTGGGCTGGCCCACTGTCCAAGTCTCGCCCAGTCTCAAGTCCAGCCCTCTCACGTCTCCAGTTGTGGGTTCAACAGGGCACCCGGACAAGCGCGCCCTGTGGGGAGCGCTGGGCAGGGCCAGCCGCTGCCACCCCGGCTGCCTGGCATCCCGCGTCTGCTCTTCACTTGGGAATTTCCCGGTTCCGTGGGCAACAAAGATCAGTCTGGAAATGCAGCTCCGACTCACCTTTCCACGGACTGAACGAGAGCTCCAATCGTGGGTTGTTCTCACAGCGCCATCTTGAGTCCTCCCCCCAGGAAAGGGAATTTTTTAAGGAGTAAATGGTCAGCAGTCATATTACAAAGAGATCAATAAAAAACGGATAAGTTGTACAACAATACTGATAACCTTGGAAACAGGTTAAATAAAGAGGTAAAGACAAAGCCAGAAAATGGTTGAGAAGTCAACAGGAGATAAGGAAGTTATGGTATTATAGATACCACTAATAAAGCTATTTGTAATATAAAGGAGAGGGGGAGATAATTAGATGGGAATTATTAGAGGGAAAGCAATGAGGGACTCTTGTTTTCTTAGAGACTTTATATTCCAGTGCTTATGCAAGAGTCAGCATAAAGTGGAAGAAAGAATAATTGCTGGGTGTAGGTCACAGAGAAAGCAAAAGAGCGTAGATTCAGAGCATAAATGCTAAGGTTAGCCATAAATAAGACGAGAGACACCTCTCTTTCCATGTGTTGCAAGAGACAGAAAAGTACCTATATGGATTCAAATAAATTAGTAGGAAAACAGGAAGTTGGAGATGTTCCCCACCCAGTAGCTTCAGTTTTTGAGGTGAAACAGATATTCTGCTGATATGAAGGGAGCGGTAGTGAAATAGGAAGCCTAAAGAATGGTGAAGACTTTTTTTTTTTGAGACAGGGTGTTGCACTGTCGCCCAAGTTAGGGTACAGTGGTATGATCTCAGCTCACTGCAACCTCTACCTCCTGGGCTCAAACAATTCTCCCACCTCAGACTCCCAAGTAGTTGGGACTACTACATGTGCCACCATGCCTGGCTAATTTTTTGTATTTTTGTAGGAATGGAGTTTTGCCATGTTGTCCAGGCTGGTCTCAAACATTTGGGCTTAAGTCCACCTGCCTTGGCCTCCCAAAGTGCTGGGATTACAGGCATGAGCCACTGCACCCCGCCCAGTGAAGATTTTAAATAGTTATTGAGATAAATGAGAGAAGTAAATATGTGATATGCAGAATTATTTCTGGGTACTGTCAAAGGATCAGTTGAGATTGGGCACTGTGAATTTGTAGCACACCAGCATCTAAAATTGGGAAATTTTCTTAAGCACATCTGAACAGCTCTGAGAAAGTTTAGCAAGAGTGGAATGAGTAGAATTGAGTAACAAAGACATTAAAAGCTTGTGATAAAGTATGTTGGGCCTGGATAGAAGGGCAAGAAGACAGTAGGTAGCTGGTTAACTGGGAGAAAACAGAGTTAAAAGGAATAGAAATCTCTGTGCAAGCCAAGAATAGATAAGAATGAATTTCCAGATGTAAGAAGTAGTGGTTAGACAGTAACAGTTAGTTTAAGATAGTAAAATTGGGGCTAGGTGCAGTGGCTCATACCTGTAGTTCCAGCACTTTGGGAGACTGAGGGAGAAGGATCACTTGAGTCCAGGATTTTGAGACCATTCTGGGCAACGTAGTGATACTTTGTCTCTAAAAAATAAAAATTAGCCGGTCATGGTGGCACACACCTGTAGTCCTAGCTACAAGGGAGGCTGAAGTGGGAAGATGGCTTGAGCCTGGGAGGTTGAGGCTGCAGTGAGCCAAGATCATGTGACTGCATTCTGGCCTGGGCAACAATGTAAGACCCTGTCTTTAAAAAAAAAAAAAAGATAGCAAAAGTGGGAGCAGTTTCAAGTGATGATAGGATCTAATAAGTTGACTAAGGTTGAATGAATGCAAGTGTAGGTCTTTGAATTGAGGAGCCAAGGAATGATAAGACTAGGACAAATTATTCATGTGGACATTGTCACCTAGGACCCAGGATGGTGGCAAGATTGGAAACAAACACTGTGAGCCAAATGCCAAATGAATGTGAGGAAGCAACCATGAGGTCACTCGCATTTACTGAATTTTTTTTCCCAAAGTAATAAATTTTTGACCATTTTGTTTGTTTGTTTTTTAGTACAAAGTGGTTGTCCCCAAAATTGGAAACATATTAGATCTTTGTACAGCATTGTCTGCTTTGTCAGGAATACCTGCAGATAAGGTAAGATGTTTCTGGGGTTGAAGTATACAAGTTGGTATTTAGTTTCTCAGTGTTGTAAAACCAGTTTAATAGAAAATTCTTTTCTTTCTAGATGATAGTTACTGATATATACAATCATAGATTTCACAGAATATTCGCTATGGATGAAAACCTTAGTAGTATTATGGAACGGGATGATATTTATGTGTAAGTATAAAACTCATTGTGCAAAATATTACTTGAAAAAAAAATCAAAAGAAGTAACATAAAATTTTGAGAGTTTATGGTCAGTTTTGTCCTTGTAGGTTTGAAATTAACATCAATAGAACCGAAGATACAGAGCATGTGATTATTCCTGTTTGCCTAAGAGAAAAATTCAGACATTCAAGTTATACCCACCATACTGGTTCTTCACTTTTTGGTCAACCTTTTCTTATGGCTGTACCACGAAACAATACTGAAGACAAACTTTATAATCTCCTGCTCTTGAGAATGTGGTAAGTACCAGACAATTCTACATTGACAAAATAAATATGGGAATAAAATATAAAATAGCTGGTAAAAATAAATACACAAGGTACTATCAGAGTATAATTACACAAGTCTGTATTATCTCAATTTTGTTTAATAATAAATTTTGTTTATTATTTGTGAAATAATAACAAATGTCAAATGCTTCATTTCTTTATATACACTACCAGTTCATGATTAATATTGTAAGGCAGCCTAGTTTTTGCTTTCCTAAAACTCTTGATTTAAATTATAAAGTTATCAAAAATGTTATTTGATCCCTTTCTTTTATCCTTGAACATTGATATATTTAGTATTCTTTCTTGCATATCTAATTGTTATAGTTTCATAACCCATATATAAAGGTCACATACAAATATAAGTGTTTTTAGCAATAATATATACTGTCTAAATGAGGATAAGTTGAGAAATTATTTGCAACAAACATTTGACATTTAACCTAAAAGTAACTATTAATTATTATTTTTTTTCTTTTTCTTTTTGGGACAGAGTTTCGCTCTTGTTACCCAGGCTGGAGTGCAATGGCGTGATCTCGGCTCGCCGCAACCTCCACCTCCTGGGTTCAGGCAATTCTCCTGCCTCAGCCTCCTGAGTAGCTGGGATTACAGGCACGTGCCACCACACCCAGCTAATTTTTTTGTATTTTTAGTAGAGACAGGGTTTCACCATGTTGACCAGGATGGTCTCCATCTCTTGACCTAGGGATCCACCTGCCTCGGCCTCCCAAAGTGCTGGGATTACAGGCATGAGCCACCGCACCAGGCAACTATTAATTATTTTTATAAAGACAAGCAAAACAGATTACTAGTCAGTTACACTTATGTTACTGTAAGTTTGAATTCATCCTTGAATCAGCTAAGTGACCACTGTTATAGCATTAAAAAAGTTTTGTTTTACTGATGGAAGAGAAAACTTTTTTTAAGTTTTTATCTTTGTAGTACTGAACTTGTTTGATTTCTGATTCTATTTAAGCCGATATGTCAAAATATCTACTGAAACTGAAGAAACTGAAGGATCCCTACACTCCTGTAAGGACCAAAATATTAATGGGAATGGCCCAAATGGCATACATGAAGAAGGCTCACCAAGTAAGACTTTTCTGTTAACTTGTAAAAATGTTTCACTTAGATAATTGCTTCAGAGAAGAAGTTAAGAAAATGGGAATTAAAGAATTAAAAAATACCTGCAAACCTAAATATAACATTGGGTTTATTTAAAGCTCTCTAATATCTAAAATTAGGTGAAATGGAAACAGATGAGCCAGATGATGAATCCAGCCAGGATCAAGAACTTCCCTCAGAGAATGAAAACAGTCAGTCTGAAGATTCAGTTGGAGGAGATAATGATTCTGAAAATGGATTATGTACTGAGGACACTTGCAAAGGTCAACTCACGGGACACAAAAAACGATTGTTTACATTCCAGTTCAACAACTTAGGCAATACTGATATCAACTACATCAAAGATGATACCAGGCATATAAGATTTGACGATAGGCAGCTTAGGCTAGATGGTAAGTATTTGTGAAAAATGGCTTGAACATTAAACAAGCAGAACAAGTAATTTTTTTTTTGTTTTTTAGTTAAAAACCATGAAATTCAGGTCTGTAAAGAAAATTGCCATTTACTTTTCTATCTCAAATTTTATATGAAAGGCCTTAATATCTTAGTAGAGTAAAATGTGTGTCTATGTTTCACAAAAGGAGATTGAACTTATGCTTAAGTTTTCTGTCTTTTTTAAAACTCTTAAATTATTTCATTGGCTTGGAAACTGCTATTAGCCCTAATCACCTGGTACAATTAGAAAAGATTGCTATTTATTTATTCTTATATACATCCTAACATTAAAATATATTTTAATACTAAGATGTATTAAATTTTAAAGAAAAAATATGTTTTCCACCTTAGAAAGATCTTTTCTTGCTTTGGATTGGGATCCTGATTTGAAAAAAAGATATTTTGATGAAAATGCTGCTGAGGTAAGTCATCACTTGCTCATTCATGTTACCTATCCTTGATTTACTTTATGTAATTACCAGAGATAATCATACTGTTTTGTTATATTCTTTGCTTCCACCAAATACATTTATTTTGCCAGTAAAAAATTGGTCATGAACTAGAAAAGAAAGTCTTTGCAAAAATACCTTTTTTTTTTAAAGATTCAAAGTTTGTTTTCAACATGCTTTGGTCATCCAGATAGGAGTATAAAGGAATTATTTAGAAGTATGGTATAAATCTCAACTGAAATAAGCTTTATGATTCTTTTGAGAAAGTTTAGGAGTTTTCATTATTATTCATAGTAAGATGGTATCACTAAAATGAGTTTTGTTTCATTTGTTCTCTTAACTCAAGAAATACTTCTCTTTAGGACTTTGAAAAACATGAAAGTGTGGAGTATAAACCTCCTAAAAAACCCTTTGTGAAATTAAAAGATTGCATTGAACTTTTTACAACAAAAGAAAAGCTAGGTGCTGAAGATCCCTGGTAAGAGACAAAATTGTTTTTGTTTTCTTTAAGGATTTATTCTGAGGTGTGTGCCACATCAAGTTGAAAAAGTAATTACTGAATTTCTTTTGATAATAAATACTAAAGCTTTCTTTATATAGTAAGTTGTAGCCTTTTAAGAGGGATGGGAATGTCTTAAAAAAATACTACTACAGGCTGGGCGCAGTGGCACACGCCTATAATCGCAGCATTCTGGGAGGCCAAGGTGGGCGATCACAAGGTCAAGAGATCGAGACCATCCTGGCCAACATGGTGAAACCCCGTCTCTACTAAAGTTACAAAAAAATTAGCTGGGTGTGGTGGCATTTGCCTGTAATCTCAGCTACTTAGAAGGCTGAGGCAGGAGAATCGCTTGAACCCAGGAGGTGGGAGTTTCAGTGAGCCGAGGTTGCGCCACTGCACAACCTGTCGACAGAGTGAGACTCCATCTCAAAAAAACACCTGTAATCCTAGCACTTTGGGAGGCTGAGGTGGGTGGATCACCTGAGGTCGGGAGTTCAGAACCAGCCTGGTTATCATGGTGAAAGCCCATCTTTATTTTAAAAAATAAAATAAAATAAAAAAATTAAAAGTCCTATTTGCAAAAAAAAATTTTTTAATTAAAAACTATTATAGTGTTGCCTTAATTTCATTACTGTGTTTTCCATAATAGTCATTATACTATTAATAATTCGTTTTACTTTTTTTCCACGAAATTTTAGCTATATAATCATTTTGAGAGAAGCTTTTTAGGAAAAGTATAGTGAAACATTTTGTGGTGGAGTTCCATTAGAGCCCAGAAGTTTTGAGATTTTCTAATACCTATCTTCCAGGACAAATTTGCAATCTATGTCTTTTTCACATACTAAAAAAGAAATAATCTAGTCCTCATTATTTCTTTCAATGTGTATTTGTATATTAATTTATAATGGTTAAATCTATTTGGAAAATGTGTTGAAAATAAAAATAGGAAAAAGAGTTGCTTTCAACCTGGTACATATTAGGCATATGATAATTGCCCACTGAATAAATGTAGAACTTTCCAAACATTTCTGGTCTATTATTTTCATTAATGGGGGTTGTTTGTACCTCTATCAAACTTTAAATGCTTCTTTTTATTCTTAGGTATTGTCCGAATTGTAAAGAACATCAGCAAGCCACAAAGAAATTGGATTTGTGGTCCCTGCCTCCGGTACTTGTGGTACATCTCAAGAGATTTTCTTACAGTCGATATATGAGAGACAAGCTGGATACTTTAGTTGATTTTCCTATCAAGTAAGTTTTAATTGTACTTAGAAGCATTGGGCAACTCTTCTTTCAGACTGATGCTTTTTGTTAGTATCCTTTTTTTGTGAGACAAAGTCTTGCTTTTTCACCAGGCCAGAGTGCAGTGGCACAATCTCGGCTCACTGCAACTTCCACCTCCCAGATTGAAGTGATTCTCCTCCCTCAGCCTCCTGAGTAGCTGGGACTACAGGCGAGCACCACCATGCCCAGCTAATTTTTGTATTTCTTTAGTAGAGACAGGTTTCACCATGTTGGCCAGAATGGTCTCAATCTCTTGACCTTGTGATCTGCCCGCCTCAGCCTCCCAAAGTTCTGGGATTACAGGTGTGAGCCACTGCGCCCGGCCATAGTTATTATCCTTTAGTAAACATCAGATGTCATTGGACCCAATTGCAGCTTTCAAGTTTGTTTTGGAGTAGTTCTAACAATTTATAAGGATCAGTGTTTCAAAATTTTAATTTTTTTTTAGAGATTTTCCAAAGACCAAAGAGAAAATATACTTTTTTTTTTTAAAGATGGGGTTTCACCATGATGGCCAGGCTGGTCTTGAATTCCTAACCTCAGGTGATCCACCCACCTCGGCCTCCCAAAGTGCTAGGATTACAGGCGTGAGCCAGCGCAGCCAGCCAAAAATATACTTTTAAAAAAATAATAAAACTCCTTCTGTATTACGTTATCTATGGGTTAATTGGTCTCATTTATAAATCTAAGATACTTTATGGTACTTAGTGATTTTGTTTATCCTAGGAATTATTTCATGATTACTCATCACTTATTCCTAAATATGCCAGTTTGGTTTTTTGTTTGTTTGGCTTTTGAGATGGAGTCTTACACTGTTGCCCAGGCTGGAGTGCAGTGGTACAGTCTCAGCTCACTGCAACCTTCATCTACTAGGTTCGAGTGATTCTCCTGCCTCAGCCTCCCAAGTAGCTGGGATTACAGACACCTGCCACCACTTATATTTTTAGTACAGACAGTGTTTCACCATATTTACCAGGCTGGTCTCAAACTCCTGGCCTCAAGTGATCCTCCCGCCTTGGCCTTCCAAAGTGCTGGAATTACAGTCATTAGCCACCTCGCTCAGCCCTTAATATGCTGTTTTCAAAAAGACTAAAATAAAACTGAATAATGGAATTGCTTAGAAGGATAACACAGTAGTGAAATAAATCATCACTATTGCATCATCCTTCAGTTTTCCTGTTGCCATTATATGACATCATATTTGTAAAAAGATATATTTATGGCCATACCAACTTCAATGCACCCCAATCTTGTCTGTAAAAAGATATTTAAAAAGTCTATACATCTTCATATTCTTTTTTTTCTTTTACCCCCTGCTTTTACTAAACAGTTGTGAATTCAGAATGACAAAAAGAGAACATTGTATTCTCAATCACTTATTCAACAGGAAGGACTTTGTCACACAATATTTTGCACAAGAACTTGTACTCTCCCATTTTGCAAAGAGAACTTTCAGTGGTATTATTTGATATTCTGTGGTATTTGTGCACCAAAATTTACTTGATACAGTTAGTAAATGGACAAATGCTAATGGCAGGTGTATCTACAAAGGTAACTAGAAGGAAATAGATTACATAAAACAAAATATTTATTGGATTGCTCATTCTAATTGATGGTTATAAATTTAAAATTTAAAATTATATATAATTATTGAATAAAAAAAGATCATGTTCTTTTTAACAAAATAGTGAGCCATTAAAAGTTTTCAATAATATAGCATTTGGCAATGTAAGAATAAGAAAAAGAATCAGGAGTAATGACAAACTAGAATCTGTTAGAGATGTATTTAAAAATTAGAATCGTAATTGCTTTTTAATGATGCAAATACAAAAAGAACAACCAGAAATAATAATAACCTATTTACAAGATGGTCATTTTCCAGGTTCTTAAATGATAGATTATGATTAGTCAGTTACATTCAAAGAATGTTGCCCATTTCAGGTTTATAGGTCATCAAAGCCAACAAATGTAGAATAAAAATTTGATATATTAATATTTTTTAAAACTTCTGAGAAAGTTGTTTTCACTGTTCTTGTATTTTTCTTCACATAAATCACTTCCTTTTTTTTAATGTCCCACCCTGCCCATAAACTACTTTTTATAAAATTGACTTTAAAATAAAGATCCATTGGACCCAGGTGGTAAATAGTGATGACTGTTTCTCCTGATATACTGAGAATTAAATGTGTTAGCATAAAAACATTAATCTGAATAACAACATTCAACGTTTGTATTTATTTATTTTTTAATTTTTGTGGCTACATAGTAGGTGTATATATTTGTGGGGTACATGAGATGTTTTGATGCAGTGTGAAATAATCACATCATAGAGAATGGGATATCCATCCTCTCAAGCATTTATCCTTTCTGTTACAAACAATCCAGTCACACTCTTAGTTATTTTTATATGTACAATTAAGTTATTATTGACTATAGTCACCCTGTTGTGTGATCAAATAGTTGTTTTATTCATTCATTTTTTTTTAACTCATTACCATCCCCACCCTTCCCAGCCTCTATTAACCATCCTTCTACTCTTTCTGTTCATGAGTTCAGTTGTTTTGATTTTTAGATCCCACAAATGAGAACATGTGATGTTTATCTTTCTGTGCCTGGCTTATTTCATTTAACATAATGATCTCCAGTTCCATCCATGTTGTTGGAAATGGCAGGATCTCATTCTTTTTTATGGCTGAATAGTACTTCATTGTGTATATGTACCACACTTTTTTTAACCATTCATCTGTTGATGGACACTTACTTCCATCAACATTACAACATGTAGTTCCATCGAATCAACGAGATTTGGTTGTTGTTTCCAGATCTTAGCTGTTGTGAAAATTGCTACAACGAACATGAGAGTGCAGATATCTCTATGATATACTCAATGAAACATTTTAACATTTTCAACCCATAAACAAATCTTTGCCAAAACATTAATATCTCAGAGGTACATGTATGATTTGTTTTGTAAGTTACTTGACTCATAATTTCTTTATTGAGATACACACACACACACACACACATGTCAAACAACAATGGCAGAAGGGAATAGAATTCATTGCATTTAGGGACAACATAAAATTAACTTGATTTCTTTTTTAAACAGTGACTTGGATATGTCGGAATTCTTAATTAATCCAAATGCAGGTCCTTGCCGCTATAATTTGATTGCTGTTTCCAACCACTATGGAGGGATGGGAGGAGGACACTGTAAGTTGACAGTTTGCCTTTTTACCCAAATCATGGTGTTTGAAGAACTCCAGGCTTTTTTCTTTACGATATTTATTAATTCTTAAGGATAAAATCTCAGATGTGTCTTGCATATAGTAATTAAATATTGATTAATGAATGAGTCAGCTTTTGAACCTTTTTTTTTCCACACTCATAGAGGATTGAGTTCATTATACTCCTCAGTTCAGGGCCCAGGAGGGAATGTTGTTGTCTTATTTAGAGTGCATTTCCCTCCACATTCTCCTTCCCCTTTGCTTTCTAACAAGTTTGATGCATATACTCTTGTAAATCATTAATATTTATTCATTTATATAATTAGTACTGTGGTATCGATCTCACTAGGTCTTGACTCTTACTAAGATTTATCTATGTTATTTTGTGTCTGTTTAGTCAGTTGTTTCTCACTCACTGCTCATGATTTACATCTACCATATTTTATCTCTCCACGTACCTTTTGATGAACCTCTAAATTGCCTTTCACTTTCTACCACTGTAAGACTGATAAGCAATTGTTTATGGTATCCTGTGTAAGAATTTCTTTGGGCTGCATACCCAAAAGTGAGATTGCTGAGTTTAAGTAAGTGTTGTCAGATTGTTCCACTCTACATTCTGCAAGCGATTTATTTTTCTGTTGAACAATATTTGCATTCCTTGGATATATCCTACTTATCTTTGTATATCTTTGATACATAGCTGGATTTAGTCCAACTTATTTAGGGTTGTTACAGTTTCATTCATAAGTGAAATGGTCTTCTAAGTTTTTTATATTTTCATTTATCTTAGTTTGGAATAAAGATTAGAGTCATTAAACAAGCTAGGATGCTTTATCCTTCGTTTGGTTTTTTTGGAACATCTGGTACAATACAGGAATTGACTATTCATCAAAGTCTAGTAGAATTAACCTGTAAAGCCATCTAGGCTTAACAATAATTGTTTTTATTTATGTTATGCATATTGGTCTCCAGTTTTCTTTTTCCTTTTGTGTATATTTTGATGTTTTCTTTATATCTAAAAGTGTATCCATTTCATTTAGGTTTTCTAATTTATTTAAGAACTGTTTATAATACTTATATTATCCTGTTTTTGTCTTTTTTCATTCTTTTTCTCTGTTATTTTTTTTAAATCAATCTTTCTGGCTGGGTGTGGTGGCTCATGCCTGTAATTCTAGCACTTTGGGAGGCGAAGGCAGGAGGATCACAAGGTCAGCAGATTGAGACCATTCTGGCCAACATGGTGAAACCCTGCCTCTACTAAAAATACAAAAATTAGCTTGGCTTGGTGGCGCATGCCTGTAAATTCCAGCTACTCGGGAGGCTGAGGCAGGAGAATCACTTGAACCAGGGAGTCAGAGGTTGCAGTGAGCCAAAATCACACCACTGCACTCAGCCTGGCAACAGACTCGATCTCAAAAAAAAAAAAAAAATTAGTCTTCCAGATTTCTCTCTTATTAATCTTTTCAAAGAATTAGCTTTTCATCTTATCAGATTTTTATTTTTGTTGTTGTATCTATGTATTCATTTTTATCTATTTATGTTTTTTGAGACCAGGTCTCGCTCTGTCACCCAGGCTGGAGTACAGTGGCATGATCTTGGCTCACTGCAGCCTCCACCTCCTGGGTTCAAATGATCCTACCAGCTTTGCCTCCTGAGTAGCTGGGACTACAGGCCATCTAATTTTTTGTGTATTTTTAGTAGAGACAGGGTTTCACTATGTTGCCCAGGCTGGTTTTGATCTCCTGGGCTCAAGCGTTCCTCCTACCTTAGCCTCCTGAGTAGCTGGGACTGCAGGTGCACGCCACCACACCTGGCCTGTATGTATTTATTCTATCTAATTGATTTCTTCTCTTCCCTTCATTGTATGGGAATGTAACCTCTTGTTACTCTGGGTTTCTGTGTTACTCTTCTTATAATTTCTTGAGTTGAATGCTTAACCTTTTTGCTCTTCATTGTTTCTCCTATACTGAAGGCTGTAATTAAAGGCTATAAATATTCTGCTAAGTACTGCTTTAGCTGTACTTAATATTTCTATTGTCTTTCAATTGTGTGTATGTTTCAGTTTCCTTTATGATTTCCTAATTAGCCCAATGTTATTTAATCATATGCTTAGTTTCCAAATATACAGAGTTTGTCACTTTGTTCTTACTTTCAGTTTTATTACATAGCAGTTGAGAACATTGTCTTTATTAATCTTTAGGAGTCTGAAAGTTCCCAGTGTCTTAATACGTACATGGTTCGTTCCTTAAATGTTTATATGCTTAGAAAAAAATATACATTTCCCATTTAGATATGGAGTTCTTTGTATCTCTGATAGCTTAAGCTTATCAACTGTATTCAAACCATTACTCTCCCTGGTTATTTTTTATGTTCATTTTATTCCTGAGAGGAATTTTGTCAGGACTCCTACTGAAGTGTTGATTGATCTGCTTCTCCCAACAGTTTTATTAGTCCTTATTAATATTTTGCATAATTACATTTATGTTCATAATGGGTAGCTCTTCTGTGTTGTTCCTTTTACACCAGGATTTGACATTCTTGACCCCTTTTTTCTTTTTCTCAGCTATTGCAAGTGTTACTCTAGCTTTCTTTTGGATATCATCATTTAACTTACAAACTCTCTGTGCCTTTTTGTTGAATGTGTCTCTTATAAATCACAGAGTAGCATCTGCTCTGCAGTGGTCTTGGATTGAGATTGACAAACTCACAACACACAAAAGGCTTCACCCAGCACCAGGTTGACTTAGATTTAAGACAGGATACAGGTCAAGAAACAATACAGCATACACAGCAACAGCTTAGCAGAGGTCCTATATGTAGCTGGAAGGGGAGAAAATAGGGTAGAGCATGCTCAAAGGAAGCTGCTCAGCCCGTTGCTGTTTTCTTCCACTCCTCACCAAGGCTGATTTTCAACCAGAGTGCATGGGGTACAATCATATTAAGTGTCAAATATTTTGTTAGCCCAAGAGGGCTAACCCAGCAGCAATAAGACTCTGATTTAGGTAGCCTGAATATTGCTAATTTCTGTGACGAAGATTGAAGCATGAATTTAAAAGCTTTCTTCTGAATTGTCTTCTCATTTCTGCCTCCAGCCATTCTGTCGCATTCTTCAGTCATTTTGCATGCACATAGAAATATCCTTGAGTTAGTTCATTCTGATATGCCGTTAATCATATCAGTGACATATTGAGAACAGGGTTCTCAGTTTGTTTTTTTTTGTTAGCTTCTTTGACCTTAACTTCCCTCTGCTTCTGTGGTTTTTCTCCGTGGTTGATTTTTGAGGAGAGGGAACCAACAGCAGGTAGAATATGAAACATTTCTTCCACAGGGTAGGTGCTCAGTAAAATCGTTAACTAAACAACTTACAGTTTAAGCCGTTATTTTATTGTGGTGGGTTGGCTGGTTGACTGGTTGGTTGGTTGGTTGGTTGGTTGGTCTTTTCTTCTGGCTTCCAATGAAGCTTCACTAAAGATGATGATTACCTTACTTTCAAAGTAATGTCATTTCCTCTGATCATCATCCAAACAGGTAACTTAATAGAGAATATTGCCCTTTGGTTTTAGCCGTATTAAGGATAATACCTCAATTTCTTATTTATATATGAATGGAAAGGATAATAATTTTTACTTTAGGATGGGAAGAATTATTTAGGTTATGGAAGAACCATACCCTACAAAGTGTCGCTTTTTAGAAGCAGTGACCACAGTTAATTATTTTAGGAACATTTTGCAACTTCATTTCTTCAGTTACTGGGTAGTTTATGTAAGACATTGGATGGGAAATGGGGCTTTTTTTGACTTAAAGATAAAGCAGATCTTTAAAAATTATGTGGATTAATTAATCACTTTTTGCCTTTTTCTTGCTCTGTGCAGTCATCCCTTTGTATCAGTGGATACCACAGATGCTCAAGTTCCTTAGATAAAATACTGTACTATTTGCATATAACCTATCCACATCCTCTCATATACTTGTATGTGTAGATTATTTAGAATACCTAATACGATGCCTGCATGTCACTTCATTCACATGAATTCAGCATAGTACTCAGTACATGGCAAATTCAAGTTTTAGTCTTCAAAACTTTGTGGAAATTTTTTCCCCCAAATATTTTTGATCTGTGGTTGGCTGGGTTCAGGGATGCAGAACCCCTATATACAGAGGACCAATTGTACTTTTGTTAAAAACTGAAAGAGATTCTGGTGTTTGGAAAAAAAAAAAAAACTATAGCTTAATGAGTAGAGCTATCAGAAAACAAATTGTCATAGAAAATTTAATAATAGTTGAAATTTCAAACTTTGAAGTCAGAAACAGGTCTAGGTTTAAATCCTAACTGCTAGCTAATAGCTATAGTACCTTTAGTAAATTATCCTTCTTTTTTGATGCCTTAATTTCCTATCGCTAAGGTGGGGAGAATAATAGTGATAATACCTTCTTTATGAGATGATACATGTAAAATGTATAACACTATGCCTGGTACAAAGTAAGCACTACATAAATGTTAATTACCATTTATTGTCATTAGTGCTATTCTGTGAATTTAAAAGTAATCTATTTTTTCCTGAGATGAAAAAAGTATGTTTAAACTTATATGAAAATTATTTTAGGCATCTAATTGTGAAAATTATTCTAAGATACTTTTAATCATTTGAGTCGATTGATTGTGTAATAAATAAGCCTCATAGATGATTGTCAGGCAGTTTTAATAGATATTCCTTATATAGATGATTATAGACTTTTGAGAAGTCCCCAGAAAACCAAGATCATTTTTTCACAGTGATTATATTTTTTTCATTAGATACTGCTTTTGCAAAAAATAAAGATGATGGAAAATGGTACTACTTTGATGACAGTAGTGTCTCCACTGCATCTGAAGACCAAATTGTGGTAAGCTTGTCTTACATTTCCTGAAAACTATGGGATTCACTGTTTTAAGGAGTGAATATAAATTAGTAAAAGGGGCCCATGGAACACTGTAATCTACATTCTAGTAGCTTGAGTAGCTAAAAGTGACAATTCTTAGTTAAATAAATGTCAAATTGTCCCCTAAATAGAAATTTGTCTTCTAAATTTGCCCACTAATAAAAGCATAAATTGCAAGGTGAAAAAAAATTTAGTAGTTTTCAACATAGAGTTTCTAATAAAAATAATTAAGTTTTTTTGGAAAGTAGATTCAGCTCTTAACTTTCTAGACATTGACTACTCAAAGCCAGAATGTTTAAACAGGAGAAGAAAAATCCCTGAAAACCTTACAGTACCTGTGATCTTTGAAGTCTTATCCTGCCTTATAAAAATTAAGTATTTAAACTCAAAATGACATAATTTGAAAAAACAAATTACAGATATTTAAAATGTTAATGCTTGTATACTTGCTACTTTGATATTTTCTGAATAGTAGAAAAATTAGGAAGTTCTGTCACTTCACATTTAATATCAGTTTATCATTCACCGCTGACTCAGTTTGGTTTTGTGTATGTACATACAGATACATACATATATATATCCTGTTACTTGTCTCCCTATATCTATGATAAAAAGAGACTTGAACACTATAAATATTTTTTTAATTGTGTTTGTCTGAATTAACCACATTTTTGGTTTATACTTAAACTCCTAATTTCTTTTGTCCTGCAAAAGAAATTCAGTTCTGTTCTCCTTAATCTCCCAGCCCAAACATCCTAAAATTGCCCACCTTCTCCATCAGTCTTTTTAACAAGACTGCCCTAATCTTGGCTTCAAATAAACAATTATCTTGTTTATATACAATATATGAATTTGATGTTGCCATGTATTTTAGCAACGATTTTTTATTTAATGAACAAATTGAATACGCCTGTAATCCCAGCTACTTGGGAGGCTAAAGCAGGAGAGTTACTTTAACCTGGAAGGCAGAGGTTGCAGTGAGCCAAGATCGCGCCATTGTATTCCTCTTGGGCAACAAGAGTGAAACTCTGTCTGAAAAAAAAAAGAAAAAACATAGATAGATATGCACAAATGACTCCATTCTGAACAGAGTTAAAAAGACAGCTACCTCATGCCAGGTGCTGTGGCTCACACCTGTAATCCCAGCACTTTGGGAGGCCAAGGCGGCCCAATCATGAGGTCAGGAAATTGAGACCATCCTGACTAACATGGTGAAACCCCGTCTCTACTAAAAATACAAAAAAAATAGCTGGACATGGTGGCACATGCCTGCAGTCCCAGCTACTCAGGAGGCTGAGGCAGGAGAATTGCTTGAACCCAGGAGGTGGAGATTGCAGTGAGCTGAGATTGTGCCACTGCACTACAGCCTGGAAGACAGTGCCAGACTCTGTTTAAAAAAAAATAAAAGATAGTTATCTCTCAGTCCAGAGTTTAAAAGACAGCTACCTCTGATTTATAAACTAAAGATAACTAAAGATAAGTAAATTAACAATTACAGCATGATAAGTACTATTAAATACCTTACTATAGCCACTTAGAAAGGGAACTTCTGTCTCAACTCAGACTTGGGGTTTAAGGGGATAAGACCAGTAGAGGGAAGTTGTAGTACAGGGAAGTTCATGTGGTGAAGATGTCTGACCTGAGTCTGTTAGTAAAAATAAGAGTAAACTAAACAAAAGAAACAAAGGTGTTCTCACCAAAGAAAACAGTATTCTACAAAAACAAGGAGGCATGACCAAGCATGACATTTTAAGGGAACAGCATGTAAATGAATATGACTCAAAGGAAAAGCTCTTAAAGGGCAGGGGGAAGAAATTAGACTGGAGATAAATTTAGCGCTTAGATCAAGAAAAGTGGCATTCTGGTTGTTTAGACATTATGTTACAGACTATGAGAAGCCATTAGATTGTTAAATAAGAGAATAACATTGTTCAGTTTGTGTCTTAACATCTCTCTGAGAACATCATAGAAGGTATGTTGAAGACACTGAGTAAAGAAACAGAAAAGCCATACAGTAGACTGTCACATAATTTAAGCAATTAAAATAGTACTTAGAACGGTGTAAAGAAGGGGAGAATGGATTTATGAGATATTTACTGGTCAGAATTAATATAACTTGATAAAAGATAGATACAATAAAGATAATAGTTGTAGAGATCCAGAGAAGGAGACGTTTAAGATGACTCTTATTTCACCATTCAACAAGATTGGGAATATAGGAAGAATAGGTGCTGTTGAAGTTTGAGATGCCCATATGATAGCTGTGTGGAAATTTCCATTTAGTTCTTGGACTAATAACACTGGAGTTAATGAGTGAGAACTGATTTAGGTTATACATTTGAGTTATCAGCCTCAGGCAGCAGTTGAAGCCATAGGTTTAAATGAGTCACCTAGTGAGAGGATACATGTTGAGACAATGGTAGGCTGAGGACAGAACATAGTATGTTTAAAGGTCAGGATTTAATGAGTCCACAGAAGAGTCTGAGAAGAAACCAGAGAGATAGGAGATCTGAGTAGTGTTGTCACAAACGCAAAACATTGTTTATTGATAGAAAGAAATAGTGAAGCATTAAATGCTACTGAGACATTGACCAAAAGACCTGAAAAACAGACCCATTTCAGTTGTTTATTAAGTTATTGACCCTAGTGAAAGCCATTTTACTAGAATGGTTTGAGGAAAAGCTAGATTATTTTGAGTTGAGAAGTGTGCATGAGAGTGAATGATGAGTATTGACTACTCTGTTTATCACCCTATGAGGAAGAGAAAGAGAGAGGTATATTGCACCTAGAAGAGGAGGTAGAATGGAAAGGGACTTAGGAAAAGCCTTAGGTAATTTTTAATGGGAAAGAGAAAAGTCCAGTGGATAAGGACTCATTAAAGATACACAGTGATGACTGATGGAACAGTATCCTTAAGATGGTAGGAAAAGTTGAACTCTACAGCAAACATGGGTTGAAATGACTAGTATTAGAAGGAAGAAATTTACTTCTTCCTTAAGAGATGATAGGAAGGAAAGCATAGAACACTACTTCATGTTAGAGTAACTAGGTTAATCTATGATACAGTTGCATTTATTTCTTGGTCCAAATAATTTAGAAGCACATAAAGATTTGTAATTCTGATGACCATTCTTCCTTTAGTAGAAATCGTCTTGTTGTTAATGAATTTTAATAACTTCCATTTGACCATGCATTGTTTTTTCTATTTGACTTGTACCCTCACACCAAAATTGGTGACTAAAAATTCGTAATGTATTTAAGGTCCTCTTTGGGAATCATGACCATTTTAACATCCTTTGTTTGTTTTGACAGTCCAAAGCAGCATATGTACTCTTCTACCAGAGACAAGACACTTTCACTGGAACTGGCTTTTTTCCTCTTGACCGAGAAACTAAAGGTGCTTCAGCTGCCAGTGGCATCCCATTAGAAAGTGATGAAGATAGCAATGATAATGACAATGATATAGAAAATGAAAACTGTATGCACACTAACTAATGAAAGTCCCAGAAGCCATAAAAGAGAGACTTTCCTGCTGGTGGTATCTATGGAAATGATGAAGTTACCCACCACATTAAAACAAAAGTCTGAGATGGGGAGTTTCAGATAACCGAATGTAAATCCTTTATCAGATTTTAACTTGTGCAGTACTTGAAGTGAAACACAATGAAAACTTTAACAGAAATTGTCTCTTAATACATTTACAGTCTTGTATTTACAAGCTAAATATATATAGGAAATCACAAATAAATCCCTTTTAAGTTTGCTGCTGTTTTGATTAATTATGTTTCCTTTGATTTTTTTTGGATGTGAGTTAATTGATGACAAATGTTAAATTTGTGGATGTTGGTCATTTATTTTGCTCTAATAATACTGCAAGAAAACTATGGCTGAACTTAGTTTTTGGATAATCTAGTTCATGTGCATTAGGCTGCCGTATATACTACTATGATATTTAGCTGCAGTATCAATGTGGCATAAATACTGCGGCAGCGTTCTTCAGAAACCACATTTTCAAATTTATCCCGGTAATCGGTGTGGGCCTATTAAAAAAACTAAATCATGATACAAGAAACAGTCTTAGAAAAGATACTTCTTTTTGTAGTATCATTAAAAATCCAGAATATTATATTCATTTTACTGCCAATGTGGAGACAGATTCTACATTTCATATTCCATCTAAAGTCATTTTTCAGTTACATGTATTATCTACTGCTATTGGGATCTATTCTTCAGACATTCAAAAACAATTTTGCCTTAAAATGCATATCTTTAATCTGGTGTTGGTCCAAAATTAAAATTTTTGCTGTCTGTTTTTCTCTACCCCATTTTATGGTAATTTGGTTCTCCCAATTATTGTAATATAAGGACAGACTTAATAGTATTCTGTGTCCATAGTAATAATTGCATCAAGCTTAGATGAGAGATTTTTTTCATATACTGGCCTTTAAATTATTAATGCACAATTGGCTATAAAGGTAGGTCTGTTAACTTTCTTTGTGTGTTCCTGATGGAATTCACCATAGCCTTACAGCTTTTCTCAGACGGTAACTTGTTATAAGAGAAATGGCATTTGCATGTTCCAGAGTCAGAACCTGTACAGTATATAAAGCATAAACACACCTTGAATTTGATTTTAGTTCACCACATTCAAGGATCCAGGATGCCAAAAATATGTGTGAACATTTGAAACATTTTTATTTGCTGCTTTTTCCCTTTGATCTAGTTGAAAGAATGTATTGTAAATTGGCATACAATACTGCCTTTAATAGAAAACCTAAATGCTGGGGCACATTTCACATATCGACTACCTGAGAAATTGCTTTGTGTCCCACTGCTATTAAAGCAAAAAGTATAATGTTCTTCACTTGAACTAATCAAATACAATAGATTATAAATTGTGTATTGTAAATAAAAGTTCACTCTGTGAGTGCACATTTTGGTAAATTATTTATTTATGTTAGCATTTAAAAGTTTTAAAAAAAAAAATGCATTTGACCAGGATAAATGAGGTATGTTGATCATGGCTTTGCTTTATATCTTGATATTAAAGCTGGTTTAACATCCTGGTATTTTAAAAAGCTGCTTTGGTTTTTTTTTTTTTTCTTCTTCTTCTTTTTTTTTTAATGTAAACTAGCCTCCTGCATGACAGAGGTTAAAATTTTGTCTGCACTTGAGTTCACTTGAGTTTACATTTGAAATGTGCATGTTTATTTATACAGATTTCAATAAAGCTATTCAAGGCCTTATTTAGTCTTTTATTTCTTACTCTTAATCTTTTAATTAAAATCCCCTACTTTATGGTTAGATGACTATATGCTAGACTTTTTAGTTATAAATAGTTAATACTAGAAAGGAAATTACGTCAGAGCAAAATGAATCCTACTGTTAAGGGCATGTTTTAAAGTTGATTTTTTTCAACTTTAGTATTTATTCATTAAACATGTTTGTGTAGCATTCACTCTTCTAGAGTCTGGAGATATAGCAGTAAACAAATATTCTTACCTTCACTGAGCTTACTTTCTTTCTGCTGTCTACCAACTAATGTACTATATTTTCATTTTTCTTAAGGTTTAAAGAAAAATCAAAGCTAACTCTTTTAAACTCTTTTAAACCTAGATTATGGTCTCTATCCTAATTCTTCAGAGACCACTTTCTTTTTAATGCCTGTCATTAACTTTTATTCCCACTTAAAGAAGTGATGTTAATAATGCCATTGAAGCTGTCAAACTCAAATGTCATTTTTCAACTGCAAAAAGTAGACTTTAAAAATAATGCAAAAGGATAATACATATTCTAATTAAAAGTAGATATTTGGGCTGGGTGCCATGGCTCACACCTGTAATCCCAGCACTTTGGGAGGCCAAAGCAGACAGATCACGAGGTCAGGCATTCAAGACCAGCCTGCCCAACATGGTGAAACCCCATCTCTACTAAAAATACAAAAATTAGCTGGGCATGTGGCACACGTGGCAATCCTAGCTACTTAGGAGGCTGAGAGGTAGGAGAATTTCTTGAACCTGGGAGGCAGAGGTTGCAGTGAGCCAAGATCTGGTCACTGCACTCCAGCCTGGGCAACAGAGTGAGACTCCATCTCAAAAAAAAAAAAAAATGGGTAGGCATTCAGGCTGGTCATGGTGGTTCACAGCTGTAATCCCAGCATTTTGGGATACTGAGGTGAGAGGATCACTTGAGTCCAGGAGTTTGAAACCAGCCTGGGCAACATAGTGAGAATCTCATTTGTACAAATAATTTTTTTTTTAATTAGCTGGGTGTGGTGGCACGCACCTGTGTTCCCAGCTACTCAGGAGGCTGAGGTGGGAGAATTGCTTGCCCAGGCAGTCAAGGCTGCAGTGGGCCAAGATCACACCGCTGCACGCCAGCCTGTGCAACAGAGCAAGACCCTGTCTCAAAAAAAAAAAAAAGTCGATATTCATAGGTAATACAGGGTAGTGGGAATATATCTAGACTAGAATTTCTACTTCTAGCTTTGCCACTTAGTAATCATGTGACTTTGAACTTAATCTTTCTTAGTCTGTTTCTTTACCTGTAAAGTAATGATAATAATAGCCATCATTTATTGAGCACTTACTATGGACCAGGCACTATATTAAAGTGTTTATATGCATTCTCATTTAATCCCACAACAGCTATGAGGTAGGGTCAGTTGTCATCCCCATTTTTCATATGAAGAAACCAAGATACAGAGCATTTAAGTAATATTACCAAGCTCACAGAATTTCTGTGTAGTAGAGCCAATATTCTATCCTCAGATATGTACTACCTCTTACTGTTAGAGTGTCTGCCTCATAGGATTGTCGAGAGCTCAAATGGGATTGTGTATTTTACGGGAAGAGCTTTGTAAACTTTATTACACGCGCTGATTTCTTCAGTCTAAATAGAAAGGCATCTTGAAGTCTAATGACTTTGCTTCTGAAGGTATCTTTAGCTCAGTATTTGAGCATTGAATAAGAAAGTACCCACTGGAATATTGACTAACCCATTCCCTTTTAAGAGTTGACTTCATTTGATTTATATACCTTTATTATAATATTAATTGATAAATATAATGTGACATTTTTTCTTATCCTTTTCATCTAACTTATGTCTCCTTTTCATTTCCCCAAATGCAACCCTGAATTTCAGGACTTTGTAAACTAGACTTTAGTTTTTTGTTTGTTTAGAGACTGGGTCTCACTTTGTTGCCCAGGCTGGAGTGCAGTGGTGTAATCATAATTCACTGTAACCTCAAACTACTGGGCTAAAGTGATGCTTCTGACTCAGTCTTATAATTTATTTTTAATTAATCTCCTTGAAAAAGTTGCAGCCTGATGCTTTATTTAAATATCTTGCTTTCTCATAATCTGTGTTCTTTTAGTAGTCCTGTATTTATCCTTGCTTTCCTGACAGCTGGATATAAAACTGCACAAAACGTTGATTTGGGCACGAAGAAAATATGTAAGTACCAAAATAGATGCAACATAAAGGTGGTGGGGTTTTTAATAAACTAATTTGATTGAAGTGAGAATATCTTATAAAATAAGCCAGGAGACTGAAATGGAGTCTCCTTCAGTGGTATACCAAAGGGAGTGTAGGGTGTAGTAGGAGCGTTCTACCTCAGAGAGGAGGAATATATTAGCACTGATAACATTTAAGACTGGTGTATGGTGACAAGAAAAAGCAGGCCAATTTTTAGTTTTATTATTTTTAAGTTATCTACAGATAATGCATTTTATTATTGCCCGCTTCCATCTCTCCCTATTTAGTATGTTTCTGATCTGTGCTTGTGCAGTATAGATGAGCACCTTCTCACCACATGGATTTTTAAGATAGAAATGTGGAAAATTCTTGAGTCATAGACTAGGGGAAGAAACCAGAGGTTATCTAAAATATAAGAGGAGTGAGAAGGAAAGGCAAAGCTCATTGCTAGGGCCAAAGAATAAGGGTAGAAGTTTTTGTTCATATTTTTTACTTTACAACAAAATTTTAAAAATTTTTGCTCTTTGAATAACTTAACCTCAGAAATTAGGAAAAAACCTATCTTGAAAATATATTGATGCTTATTCCCAAATAAATCTTTTAAGTACCACTTGACCAGAGGATAGGGAAAGGAGGAAAAGCTGAGTGTATTTATATCCTTGCTAGTTTTTATTACGTATTCAGTTGTAGATCTATATTATATATTGTTTTATTATCAGATTTTCTAGTGATAAATATATATGATAGCTTTTTAATAAGCATTCTAGGTTTGGAGGCCATTTCAATTCCATATGTGTGTGTTTTAAGTATTTAATTCATATTTACTAAATACTAAGAAAAAGGATTTCCAAATAGCTCAGATAACAAAACTTTTATTTAAACTTGAGTTATGTCAGAATTGTATAAATGATATAGAATAGGCTTTAAAATACCAGAATTGGGAAAATAAAATATAAATGGTAAAAATACAAATATTCATCAAGACTTTTTTTCAACTAATGATGGGGGAAGAATTTTTAAATGGATAATATAAAACAGACAGTTCAAAAATTATTTTTGGAAAATATATGCATCCGGAAACATACCCCACATTGTGCCATGGTTTAATTATTCCCCAGCTCTACTTTTGGGAGCATGGAACTTGTCAAGGTGGTGAAATAGACCTTAGACTATTAAGGACATTCAGAAAATGGTTAAGCTATTCAAGGAAAATCAGGAATTTACATAATATATTGGACTAGAGTCTCAAAGGACAGAGAGAAAATCAGTCAAATGAGTTTTGATATT